CTATGTCAGTTACAAAATGCTAGTAGTCTTGAAAGAAGGTGCAAATGAAGAAGAATTTATAAGGTAGTAGTTTCCACATGGAAACGCAATGCCGCAACGATATGGAAACGCAATGGAAACGATAATTATTCAATGTATCGTACGTGAAACTAATAGGAATAACATCTGTTGCGCTGCCACGACAATTGTTCAAGGTATCGTACGTGACACTCGAAAAAATGGCATCTGCTACGATGCCACGATAATTAATTAATGTTTCGTCTTTGAAGCTAATAGGAACCTAACCTAACCTAATAAAATGATTGATGTAATGTACCTACAACTCATAAGAAAATAACAACTTTCACTCACACAATAACTCATTATGATGTAGTTCAGTCAACTTCCTGGTGCTCTGTGGTCAAGAGCTCCGAAATATTGTCCGATATCGCATAATTTCATCGATGACAGGGTGCGACACGCTTCAGAAGACTTCTCCGAAGTGTGTAGAGGTGACTCAGTACAGGGTGTTTTTAATGCTCGCCAGGTTGCGTCTATCCAACTTCCATAGCTGATGCATGCGCGTCGTTCTAATAAATACGCGTAATGCCAGCCCTTGGCCCCTGCCTGCTCGGCAGAGAACTCCTTTTGTGTAGAAGACAACCGCCACACTTCGATTATTATTCATGCACGATAAGCTCTCCCTTACAGCAATCATAGCATCAATATTGCACTGGACCGTACCTCAGTTTTCGATTTAGTCGGAAATGGCATTGTTAATTTTTTCCTCGTGAAGTCGTGTCATGGGATGCAAAATAGCTCATGCATGCAAACTAAAAGCTGCGAGAAATGTACGAGTGTCAGATTATGCGATCTCTACGGCAAAGTTTAATGTCGACCGTTAGTTATGCATAGAGTCAGAGGACCTCATCGTAAAGTTTGGAATTTTGGCAGATTGAAGCAGCACCGCAATGAATACATGCAAGGACATGAGTGGAAACCCCAATATAGCTCATGGGAAAAAAAATTATTCTGAAATCATTGAATTCGGAGATGAGTTTGGATTTATTACAGAGCATTTTACTAGAGTGGGTAATAGCTCATAAAGAATTATTTTCTAACGTCACACTAATGTTTTCATTATATTAGCGTCTAAATCCATGTAGTAAACATTATCTTGAAAACTCCATAAGTTGGTTAAAACGAAACGTTCAAAACAACTTCAAGGCCTGCATCAATCCGTGACCTAGCATTTAGTAGCAGTTGACTTTGAACTCTCCGGTCGCCGTTCGGTTTCCGTGTCTCGTACGCGCTGTAATCTCGATCGTGTGTCTTATTTGTGCAAAATTATTAATAGCGAAATTTAGCTGCGAACGAATCTTATACGACCTAAAATGTGGACCGTTTATATATATATACGAGAAAATACAAATGCATAAATATATTTTATTATATTACTTGAATTAATATGAATAAGTTACTCATCTTGCTTCAGGAGATTGTCAAAATTAAATAAATACAAAATTTCGGGAATGGATCACCGCTACCTGGCACCTGACAACTCGGAAATCGAAGAGAAGCGATGATTATTCAGATTTACCGCACGACGTGTTTGATGAGCTGACTTATTGAGACCAACTGATCAAACATTAAAGCATTAATTTTGAAGTCAACACACAACGAAGACTTGAAATGTGTTTGTCTGGTGAGCAGGAACAGCTCTGGTACCAGTTCCCTCACGGCTCAATGTTCCTAATTAGTGAAAATTATGTTGAAGTTGGATTATTTAACCAGTTACTCGGAGTCAGATGATAGGACGTGAATAATAAATAACAATTTTCTGGGCAAGAACCTAACATTTTTTTATCCAAGTAACTAAATCCAGAACAAGTTTTACGTGCGTATCGTTCAACAAATAAAAACTTCACTCCTTTTCCCTAGATTAATTAATAACGAATCATTTAGCTGAACATGACGCCCCATTCCGCGGCTCGGGATCAGAGGACTCTATGCCCTGACAAAAGGATAATGATGGACGCCCTTCAACGGGTGGCCGCTGCATGGTCGCCTCTATATTGCGACCATGATTCTCAACAAGGTTTCCTGATTGTACACTGTACAGGTTTTAGGGCCCAGTAAATTTTAATGAAGAGTTGGGCGTGGTGATTTGAATGATTGCAGCGCCATGTCTGGGGGATTCAGACACAACGAAGCCTTCCTAATTAATTAACAAACTCACATAAAATTCATGTAATAAAAATAAAGCATATCATATATATCATATATAACCTGGGTTGAGGTTTATGTTATGAAATAAGAACCTACTATGATTCAATATTATTGTTCTTTTTACTTATTAAAACGTCGCTCGTATGACATCTTTATGAACAATAGTTTACAACGGGCAACGATATCAGGCAGTAGGGTCTCCGGTAAATATTGTTTCATCTCAATTATCGCAAGAATTTAATAACGGCGCAGTTATTTAAAGTTAGTCACAGGGAGCGTAGAGTGTTTGATAATTCCAATAAATTAATTGTATTCTGTTGTTGAGTTAACAAGATGAACAGACAAGAATTTTAATCCAAAAGATTCGCATTAAAGGGTCCATAATTAACAAAATTGATTTATAAGGAACCACACCCATCGCCCGCCCGAACTAAAGGAGCAGCCGCTGCCGACACTTCAAAGATAGACGCTCATTTAGCCTTTGAATGAAATGCAAATGTTCACTGTGCCTACTGGAGTCTGCCATTGAATGGAATAGATGAATATATTACCCTGCTAGCATAAACGGGTCAGAGGAGAATTTCTTAATATATAATTATTATTTCATGTATTTTGCTGGTTAATTGAGATTTGGATGCATATATGAATAGTTTTTCACGAATTACTAAATAATTATGTAAACATGTAATTTATCATTATTTAATGAGTTTAATATGCAATACTTAGGCTGATATAATTCTTCAGAGTCATATTTATCATAAGAAGGTCTCATGAAGAGTTATTACTGAAAGGTAGCGCTCGTGTAGAAGTAGTTGCTCAAATAGAATAAAAACATAAAGAAACCTCAAACATTTCTTCTTCGTGAAACACAAGCTCCCGTTATATATGTCGTTTAACAGCTCCAAGATAAAAGATAACTGGGAGACCGTAAATTGAAAATTATGTAACTGTCAAATTCCGAAGTACTCCATGCAACAGGTTTTTCCAACAGTATTTTTTCGTGCATGGCTGCATTGAAATTGGTTTACTCCACAGTCAGCTGAGCACTAAAATTGTATGACTTTCTAATATAGATGCAGTAAAGCGCTTTATGTATTTTCACACTGCAGTGCAATAAAATCTTTATATATACCTATTTGTTTATAAGATTATGTGTTTGAAATCATGCGAAAAAAATACATACAGGGGTTTTTATTTTCAATTGTAGAATAATATTAATACATTGAGGGGAGAGTTCATTATGAAATTGAAATTTAAGGTGTATTTAGGTAGGTTTAAATTTCAAATATCCTTTAAATTTAGAAAGGTTTGAATGGAAGTTCTGCGCCAAATGTGAGATTGTGCAGGGTTTTCCTTTATTAAGGTTAATTAGTTTCATAATTGTGAACTGTATTAGAGATGATGAGGCCCTGAATGACGGGATTTGGAATAACAAGATTCTCATGTTCAAAGGACCATGTGTGTCGGGCAGAGCCGGGCTTTCCTGTATATTATATATATTTTCCTCCCATGCAGTCGGGCAAAAAAGATTTTAAGCAACATTACCTACTAGAATGTAAGAAGATCGGACTCCCAAATATCTCTCGTTTCAACATATAGGAAAAACTAATTTGCATCTACTAAATTAAATTTACATTCGCCAATTACAAAATAAAATCCTAACATTTGATCAAATCCTCTTCTCCCTTTCCTCCAATCCTTATCTATTTTTCTACTTTGAATGAAATTTCAAGTTGGCAATATCGCGGCTCAATAGCCAAGTATCTTCTGGATACGCGCCCGAACAGTCCCTATATATTTCTGGCGTCATTCTTCAAACACACACACAACCCACAAATTTTTACAATTATTTACAATATGAATAAATATTTCTTTTGTACACACACACACACAACCCACAAATTTTTACAATTATTTACAATATGAATAAATATTTCTTTTGTCGGCGTGTTTACACGCCGGTCATTGAATAGTTCGGCTCAGTTATCAGCCTGAAAATGCAGGTCACGTCCGAAGTTCAAGCGTCGTGTTTCATCGAGCAACACGCACGTTTCCGTCAGTTTCTAGGAAGGCATCAATGCTCAGCATCAATGAAATCATTTACTTCTTATAAAGGCAAATTTTAAGTTTCTGCGGAACATTTTTAGTGCATTTTCTCATTTATGAAAAAAAGACGCTATTGTGCTCGTCATGTCCGTCCGTCTGTCTGTCTGTGACTTCACGTTGCCGAGTATCCATGATACTCTCATGATCCATGAGAGTATCATGAGTATCCATGATGTGCTCTCAGTCACTAACTGCAGTCAGCACCGAGTTAAATTTTTTCAAGCTACGTTCATGTCAGATCGAAAAAATTTAATAGACATTTATTATTATACTTGAAAAATTATTCCGTTTGCAGGATACAGCTTCAGAATTTTCAAGGTCATACCAGTTTGTGTCTTAAATATTCTTGAAGTTCAGGTTTTGTCTTAAAAAAATTAGATCTTATTTTCCGTCGTTTTGCAAACACTTTGAATATTTGCATTATGACTCGTCATCTTGGGAAAATAATATCCGTCTAACGTCTTTTCTCCGGTGTAGCATTTAATTGTCAATATTTTTAGCATAAATACGTGATAAGTCTTTTGTGAATTAATGATATTTTTAAATTCAAGAGTGAATCTCTATGTAATTCACACGGCTGTGAAGGCGAGGACTTCGCTGACTGAAGGCGAAAAGAAGGCTTGAAGGTCCGTCAGCCACCGATAAGCCATCCAGCCAGCCGCCGTCCAACAACTGTGCCAGACTGCCAGCAGAGCTCGACAGGCGGAGAGACACTCGGACAAGTTGCTCAGAAAGCCGCTTTGCGTCGTTGCGGGAGGTGGTAGTTGTATATTTTGTGCTCGATATTCATCACTTAAACCGCTATATCATTTCACAATGGCGCCAGGATCGTATATAAAGGTGAGATAATTAGCCTGCTAGCTTTGAGTTTATAGAAAACTTCCTATTTATGTGCATTTGATGATACTACTATACGTGAAGCCGGGGTACAGTCGTCACATGGACTAGATGCTTGCGATCTTCATAGCGCATTGACATCATTTAGTTGGCGGTGATTAAAGCCGTTTGAACTGTGCCTGTGTTTGCCACTTATCTTATCTCTGATTGTCAGTATAGAAGTGAAAACTGTGGGTGACGTAATTCCTCTTGGCTTGTTGGGACCACATGGCTATGCTTCATTGAAATAAAGACTTCGTCATTTATTATCAATCAAGCAGGTGGCAGATTTTTCGTTCTCTTGAATAGATCGATATTTTATCAAATAGTTTTCGGCAAAAGATCAAAAAATCTTCATCAACCTTCATTATTGTGCACTTTCAGATAACAACGTTGATTACGTTCTGAGGATAACGATCTTAGTATTTCAGCGTTTTTTCCTTCAGAGACGATGGCTACTGCAATGGTTGAAACAATACTAATGTAATAGTTCAACCATGGCTACTGCAGTGGCCGCATTATGGAGGAATGATCGATTACTACCTGGATTAGTGGTTCCTTACCATTCCGTACGTGTATCATGATAGTACATGAGGATGATGAGGCGGCGAAGGCCTTATTCGCTGAGGGTGATGAAGATTTTTGTTGGGTAATTTCTAACATGGAAATATCAAGTACATCAACCATAATCTGGCAACAATTTACAACTGTTGACACGCACCCTCCACCTGGTCCCAGCGTCCAACTTTATAATCAGCTTCTACACTTACTTGAGGCTCTTATTATATTTAGTGCATTTAGTGACTAACCGCGTAGAATGCGGCTAATGAAAGAGCTGTATTAGTTGGTGGTACGCGGCGACTGTACGGGACCTCCAAGTGTTAAGTGGTTCTCAATCACAAAATGGTTGGGAAGAGGAACCATGTTCTTGATTGTTGATTTATCCAGCTGTGGCTGCTGCTGTGTACCCTGGACAGCCAGGCGCGGTCGTTCTTCACTCTGGTGACCTTGAAGGGTAGGAGCGCTTGTGCCGTAGCACAAGATCACCACGCGAAAACCATAAGCTCACCACGTGGCACAAGCTCACCACGCGAAAACCATATGCTTACCACGTGGCATAAGCTCACCATTCACCACGCGAAAAGCATTAGCTCACCACCCGAATATAAGCGCACAACGTGGCACAAGAAAACCAGGCTCTGGAGCGTCTGTACTCTAAGCACACCTAACAACCTTGTATAAACCATGAGTATACTTGTATACTTCAATACTATAACGTAACCCCAGAAACTCGTCTATGATATCAATTAAATTATCATGTAACATTCTTGTTAATATCGATACAGTAATCAACTAAACACGATTATGTTGGGAGAAGTTTTCGCCGTGGATGCCTAAATGAAATCAATAAAATTTTGTATTTCAACACGCACTAACAAAAAGATAAATGCATGTATTCTGAAACGAATCACAGAATCATCGGTCAAATGGCACCGACATCGTTATTTAAAGCAAGTGGCTTTGCTCTTACAAAAAATTAAACTCTTTGTTTACTGACTGACGAGTAACCCTATAGCTACCAGGCCTCGATACGAATTAAATAGACGACGTTCTTGCATCAGAATTGATCATTAGGCTTCTTCTGTAAATCAAATTTGTGGTCATCAGTGAACAGTGTTCGATAAAATAAACTCTCACTTCGTTTACAGATCGCTGACGAATACAAAAGTTTCACCCTGGACCACTTCTGTGTCCCCAAGCATTATGAGGAAGACTTGGAAGATATTATGATTCCGTGGGGATTGATACAGGACAGGTATGATGATCATTTGATCGCAGTAAGTAACTCTTATTTCTGAAGTATCATAGCTTTTTTGAGACCAGATGAGTAAAAAATTATTGTTTCCCTCAATAAAATAATTGTATCCACAAATAGGGTTATAAGCTTTAGTAGTACAAGAATATCAGTGAATTTTAATTATGTACACAGCCTGATCTAATGTATTTTGTAGATAATAAACAATAAATCAATATTTTTGTCCGTGAATGTGTCCGGATTATTTTTAAGTTTTGAAGACAAAAAACATTTCCCCGGCTACAGGTAGCCTAGCAACAAGAATGACGCCGTTTTTTTACTGCTCGTCCCAACTCGCTCAAGACAAACCTGTTACCTCAAACGAAAGCTGTAGAAGCGACGGTGTGAACTTATAGTACATAGCATTCACCACATTTTTTGTAATTTTTTCTCAATGCTGAGCCGTGAATAGCTTCTTGCATAGTTATTTCACTCAACCTCAACTTCCGAACTTAAGGAAATAAAACGAAATAAATACGTAACTGACATCACATCTTTCGGTTCGTAAGTGTTTGCATCGCAATATCGAGAATTTATTCAGCTTTATCGTTTGCATTGATGGAAATTACATTGTGGTTAGAATCTACATATTGACTTCGCTTTAGTGAAGAAAAGAGGCTTTCCCGATGGCTCGAGAAAAACTCCACCTTGAATTTACAATAAAAAATGTATACATATATACATGTATTGACACATACACGAGCATGAACTGGGATGAAGCAAACGATTTATAAAAAACACTTAACGACATCGAGCGCCTGTACGTCAGGCAAGACATCTTATGTCTTATCCGTCCCAATTACTCTAGTCCCTTAAACTGATAAATGACATTATGTGGACGTTATATGTAATATTATAATGATTTTCAATGGACAAAACCTATAATCAAACATTTTAACTCCTGCAATGACAAACAATTTTTTTATGTATTCGGATTCGACCCATGAAAACACATTAGCTTGATTCTTTTGAAAATACTGGCAGATATCACCATTGATTACGTTCTGAGGATAACGATCTTAGTATTTCAGCGTTTTTTCCTTCAGAGACGATGGCTACTGCAATGGTTGAAACAATACTAATGTAATAGTTCAACCATGGCTACTGCAGTGGCCGCATTATGGAGGAATGATCGATTACTACCTGGATTAGTGGTTCCTTACCATTCCGTACGTGTATCATGATAGTACATGAGGATGATGAGGCGGCGAAGGCCTTATTCGCTGAGGGTGATGAAGATTTTTGTTGGGTAATTTCTAACATGGAAATATCAAGTACATCAACCATAATCTGGCAACAATTTACAACTGTTGACACGCACCCTCCACCTGGTCCCAGCGTCCAACTTTATAATCAGCTTCTACACTTACTTGAGGCTCTTATTATATTTAGTGCATTTAGTGACTAACCGCGTAGAATGCGGCTAATGAAAGAGCTGTATTAGTTGGTGGTACGCGGCGACTGTACGGGACCTCCAAGTGTTAAGTGGTTCTCAATCACAAAATGGTTGGGAAGAGGAACCATGTTCTTGATTGTTGATTTATCCAGCTGTGGCTGCTGCTGTGTACCCTGGACAGCCAGGCGCGGTCGTTCTTCACTCTGGTGACCTTGAAGGGTAGGAGCGCTTGTGCCGTAGCACAAGATCACCACGCGAAAACCATAAGCTCACCACGTGGCACAAGCTCACCACGCGAAAACCATATGCTTACCACGTGGCATAAGCTCACCATTCACCACGCGAAAAGCATTAGCTCACCACCCGAATATAAGCGCACAACGTGGCACAAGAAAACCAGGCTCTGGAGCGTCTGTACTCTAAGCACACCTAACACTGTTAGGCTAACAGACGTGTATTTACTAACTCTCCATAGTCAATAGATCATGGTTATTCTCACTGCACATTAGATGTGCAGCAACAACATATATTCACAGCGATTCGTTCATTTCTAATGTGATTTTGCTGAATAATCATATATTTCTCGGCTTAGCTTGCGAAAGCTGTAATGTTTTAAACTTTTTACGGGATCATTTTTATTCTTCACCTACGAAATAATTAATAATAATGTAAAAATATATAGGTAGTTTGGTGCATGCTGCTAACAGCCTCGAAACAGCCACCCACACCCATTCTCTAGCCGATTGATGCTCTGCATGCAGATAACTTAACGTGCTGGGCCCCGTAAGAGGTTCTAACCCACAGAGCTCCACCTCTACTGCACTGCTCTTCAAGTTATGAAAACAATTAAAACCTGGCAACTGAAATTTAACAGGCACAATTCCCCCCCCTAACATTTTATTTTTCAACACGCACTAACAAAAAGATAAATGCATGTATTCTGAATGCCACATTTTTCTGAGAAACCTATTAGCCTTAATTCAACGAATCACCGAATCATCGGTCAAATGGTATCGACATCGTTATTTGAAGGCAAGTGGCTTTGCTCTTACAAAAAATTCAACTCTTTGTTTACTGAAGATAACCCTAGCCACCAGGCCTGGACACGAATTACATAGACGACGTTCCTTGCATCAGGAGAATTAAGGCCACTGTGTAATTTATCATTAGGCTTCGTTTGTAACTAAAATTACTAATCAAAAAATTGTAACTTAAAACACGCTATCAAACATACGCCCTTTCACGCTGATTTATAATTCAGGTTCATCAGTGAACAGAGTTTGATAAAATAAACTCTCACTCCATTTACAGATCGCTGACGAGTACAAGAGTTTCACCCTGGACCACTTCTGTGTCCCCAAGCATTATGAGGAAGACTTAATTTTGCATATGTATGCGAAGTTTCATGATGATCGGATAATAACTGTAGAAGTTTTTCCGGAGGTTAGCCGGTCCCCTTAAGGAAATAACACGATAGAAATAAAACGATATAAATGTAACTGACATCGCATCTTTCGGTTCGTAAGTGTTTCGGTTCGTAAGTATCGAAAATTTATGCAGCATTTATCGTTTGCATTATGTCTTTTTTTAATTTTCATTATTTATCGTAAGCGTTATGTTTTTGTCTGTATAAAAGACAGACGCCCGCAATGGGATGCTCCACCGTCAGTCGAGAGAGATTAATCTTTTCCCTAATTGAAGTCCATATCTATTCAAATTTAATCTTCACCACTATTCATTTATATATCGCCTCTTAAATTCTTTAATGTACGGTCTCGAGATGGTATTTTCCCGGGAGTTAAAGTTTATATCTGCCTCATTGATGGAAATTACATTGTGGTTACAATCCACATATTGACTTAATTCGCTCTATTGAAGACAAGTGGCTACCCAGATGGCTCGAGGATAAGCTCCACATGGAATTTACAAAAATATATATATATACATAAAATATTGGCAAATACATGAGCATGCCCTGGGATCAAGCATATAAGTTATAAAAACGCTTACCGAAGTCGAGCGCCTGTAAGTCAGGCAAGATCCATCCCAATTACTCTACTCGATTAAACTGATACATTAAATGGCGTTACGTGGACGTTATACGTTACCTATATTATAATGCTTACCATTATACTGTATGTCTGTATCCAATTCTTTCTCATACGACAAGAGAATTTTTCGGTTCAGTTATTAATTTTCCCCCACGACAGTATTTATCAAACATTACACTAATGGATATTTCTGTGTTCAAGGATCGAGCGCCTAGCGAGAGACATTTTTCAGTCGGTGAAGGATCAACCGCTGACCGCAGTGTGCATCCTGAAGGGCGGCTACCGCTTCTTCACCGACCTCCTTGACAAGCTCACTGCACTCAACCGAGCCCATGGCCACGTCTCCGTACCCATCACCATCGACTTCATCAGACTTAAGAGTTACGAAGTGAGTCTGCAAACTCGAATATTAAGAAGCGCGAGTCCTGAATGTTATGAAATAAAGTTTGTTGTAAATGTTACTGAGTGAGCCTAGAATGTCATGAAGCGATTAAATCCACGAGAAGTTAGTTTTGGATGCTACTGAGCGATTCTTCAATCTACAAAGTTGATTTAAGAAAGTACGAAATGAGTTTTGTGTATTAGGAAGCAAGTTTTGGTTATTATGAATTCAAATTGTGAAAGTAACATCGTGAGTACGGTATTGAAACTAACGCAGTAAGCAATGAAACTAGTGAGTCTTGGAACTAGAGTCCTGAAACTGGCAATGTGGGTCTTGAAACTCATTTTGTGAATCCTGAAACTCACTGCGTGCGCAATATAGCGTTTAAAAAGCGAGCCTTAGAAATGACGATGCGAGTCATAAAACTCGCTTAGTTTGTCTGGACACTTACGATGAGAATGTGAAACTTGCGACGTAGTATGTCTGTTTATTAACGTAGCTATTACCTATATTAACTAATAATAGTTCATAAGTAGGTCTTGAAACTCATAGCGTATTATATATGTAGAAAGACAGCATTGCATTGAACTTTCTATTAAAAAAAACTTCGTAGTGCACCAATTTAATTTCGCCTTACAGAACGATGCATCGTCAGGGGAGATCCGTATCGTAGGCGGTGACAGCTTATCGAGCATCGCGGGTCGCAACATTCTGGTGGTGGAGGACATCATCGACACAGGCCGCACGATGATCAAACTCCTCGAGCTGCTGGCCGAGCACAAGCCTGCCTCTGTTAAGGTTGCCTCCCTGCTTGTCAAGAGAAGAGCTGGCCAAGGCGTTACATTCAGGCCTGACTGTGAGTTTCGTCTATTGTTTTTTCATTCATACGAAGTCTTTTGTTTTCCAACTACACCTGGATTAAAATAAATTGAACAATTATAGATATTGGGTATGTATTTGGACTGATTCGTGATTTTAAAGCTTGCAAGTTATTTATTTCCACTGACCGCGTTTTTGACACTTTCTTGATTGAGATTTATTATGTTGAGGTAGAACGATTGAAAATCAAGACATGAAACATGACTTACACCATTTCTAAGCATGTACCTATCTCAAGATTACAATAATTCGAATCATCCTCGAATGTCTGGTCCCTGAAAATGAACAGAGGTTGAATCACCTTCGTGGGCGTTGGTTTTAGACTTCGATGAAGCAGCAAATGTTTCCCGTTAAAATTAAAAATGTTGCATTATATACTTGGAGCCTCTGTGTTCTACAATATCTATGTGGAGTCCCCTGTTATATAGGGAAGTAGAATTGTTTTTCACTTAAATTTTCTCTATCCCAAAAGAAGAGGTGACAACAAAATTTTGCAGATTCTGACAAAATTATGTTCATATTCGATTAATATTTTGCCATCAGTGAAGCAATAAAATTAGGTATATCTTTATGAATTTCAGACGAAAGAGCAAATTTACGACAAACAAATAATCTTTATTCCAGATTGTGGATTCGAAATTCCAGACAAATTCGTCGTTGGATACGCGCTCGATTACAATGAATACTTCAGGGATCTCAACGTGAGTAACATTTATCATATTGCTCAATACTTCAATACTGTATTATATCACTGATTTGGTAGCTTCGACATCACGTAAATTTAAAAATGTAGCTCACCACTCAACAGAATTTGCCTTAGTTAAAACTTCTCGAGGCCAAAAATGCATTATCGGCTAACAGAGGCATGAATTCGCTCATGAAAAACCAACTCATAACAAAAGTTGGATCAAACTTACAGGCATCTGGGACACAAATTGAAAACCATCTGAGCTCGGCACTCAGGTCTTGACTAGTTTAAAGGAAGAGAAAATTTGAACCATTTATTAATGTCCGTCTCTTCTGCCCTCAGCATATCTGCGTCATCAACAATGCCGGCAAAGAGAAATATCGTCAAACAGCGACCAAGTAACCATTTCCGGACAGTCGACCATTGATGTTTTCGCAAATGCCATACATTCCTTTTAATTTTATGTTTTGTTAAGCACGCAGTGGAAGTTATTGACATAGGACAGCGTTTGTAGAGGGTCTAAGATTAAATGCAGGCATTAAATGATACCAAGCCTTGGCCTCTGCATTACCTTCTTCTCCTGCAACTTCATCGTGATTCCTAAATAAAAATATGGGGTTTTGCAGTTATACTTACTTGATTTCCTGTCAGTCCGTCATTGAGGCGGATAAATTTGTTCGTTGAAATATTTAAATTCGCAAATTTGAAATTTCTCCACAGATGCCAGAAATTCTATTGCAACATGAATTGTGAATAGACTGATTTGTGAATAATATTCGAGCTTGATTATCAGCAGCGCAATAGGAGCTTTAATAATGAAATATGTGGGTTAATTTGTGCGTGCTTATCACCGAAATTTAGATTTAAGAAACGTAAATAAATTCATCATGGACAGTTCCTGCGAATACTTTTCACATCGCACGCCAGAACACACCAGTAATAAAAATGACAACCGTACTGTATTATTTCAACTATATCAATAATTTCTTGGTCTGTGTTTTCAACGCATTACATTAAATATTGGCCAATGCACAAAAAGTCTACGAAAATATTTGTTAAAATCTTTTTAAAGGAACATTTTCTTTAAATTCCATCAACACGATGATAACAGCTCACCTCTCAGTCTAGTTCCGCAGAGTAAGGTTGATCAAACTTACTGTTGGATGGAGGTTTTAATAATTGAAACGAGAATTTAAAATAGAATTTATGAACAATAATTCGTACACAAGAGGTTGCTCTTATGAAAAATAAAGAGCAGCGCGTTAGTCCGGACGACATTGAACACAGACGGTATCAGCACTACCACGTCTAGCAATCTCAAGATTACAATAATTCGAATCATCCTCGAATGTCTGGTCCCTGAAAATGAACAGAGGTTGAATCACCTTCGTGGGCGTTGGTTTTAGACTTCGATGAAGCAGCAAATGTTTCCCGTTAAAATTAAAAATGTTGCATTATATACTTGGAGCCTCTGTGTTCTACAATATCTATGTGGAGTCCCCTGTTATATAGGGAAGTAGAATTGTTTTTCACTTAAATTTTCTCTATCCCAAAAGAAGAGGTGACAACAAAATTTTGCAGATTCTGACAAAATTATGTTCATATTCGATTAATATTTTGCCATCAGTGAAGCAATAAAATTAGGTATATCTTTATGAATTTCAGACGAAAGAGCAAATTTACGACAAACAAATAATCTTTATTCCAGATTGTGGATTCGAAATTCCAGACAAATTCGTCGTTGGATACGCGCTCGATTACAATGAATACTTCAGGGATCTCAACGTGAGTAACATTTATCATATTGCTCAATACTTCAATACTGTATTATATCACTGATTTGGTAGCTTCGACATCACGTAAATTTAAAAATGTAGCTCACCACTCAACAGAATTTGCCTTAGTTAAAACTTCTCGAGGCCAAAAATGCATTATCGGCTAACAGAGGCATGAATTCGCTCATGAAAAACCAACTCATAACAAAAGTTGGATCAAACTTACAGGCATCTGGGACACAAATTGAAAACCATCTGAGCTCGGCACTCAGGTCTTGACTAGTTTAAAGGAAGAGAAAATTTGAACCATTTATTAATGTCCGTCTCTTCTGCCCTCAGCATATCTGCGTCATCAACAATGCCGGCAAAGAGAAATATCGTCAAACAGCGACCAAGTAACCATTTCCGGACAGTCGACCATTGATGTTTTCGCAAATGCCATACATTCCTTTTAATTTTATGTTTTGTTAAGCACGCAGTGGAAGTTATTGACATAGGACAGCGTTTGTAGAGGGTCTAAGATTAAATGCAGGCATTAAATGATACCAAGCCTTGGCCTCTGCATTACCTTCTTCTCCTGCAACTTCATCGTGATTCCTAAATAAAAATATGGGGTTTTGCAGTTATACTTGATTATGGATTAAATTTTATTGAGACGGAATACATCTTAGATGATATATAGGGAGCTCTCTTCACTTGGAATTCCATCAATACAACAACTCACCTCTCAGTTTAGTTCCGCTGACCAAGGTTGATCACACTTGCTGTTGGATGGAGGTTTGAATAAATTGAACTACGGTTTAAAATAGAATTTATGAAAAACAATTCGTACACAGAAGGGTTCTCTTACGAAAAATAAAGAGCAGCGCGTTAGTCCAGACGACATTGAACACAGACGGTATCAGCACTACCACGTCTAGCGGAAACAGCTTCTCGTCGCAATTTATTGCTCAATGGCACTTTTCCCGGAGTTGTCCATAAATCCTGCCTGAGAACTTTCGTTACACTAAGTTTGCCCAGAGCGTCATTCAAATTTAACGCGTAATCACTCGATTACAACTGGTCGAACGGTTTCCTGTAATCTACAAATTTCTGACAGTACTTGTTGTTGTTGTTGTTAATTGCCCGGACAGTACTTGTACCTCGGTAGTTTCAGGATCTAATCTGTATTTTCAGCAGTTTTTTCGCATCATAAGTTTACTGTTCATAGCGGTAGTTAGTTATTCCTTCGCATGACAGCACATGCAACCCAACCTTTGTTCTTAGTAACAAATAACTGCATGTAAATACTGACTATTGGCAGCTTTACTGCACCTGAATGGCAGGGAAGCAAAATATGAATTGGCACCTCATTTCAGGAAAACTGCATGACTGAGGCTTACTTCATAAAATGCATACCGAAGCGAGATTCGCCTGAAGAGCCTCATGCAGTTTAACATTGCAAAAATAGTTACATGTCCAGTTATCTTCCTCGAATGAAATTTACATTTTATATCTGCAAATTCTGGATTTCTGCACGGAAATTGTATCCTCCAGTTTTGTAATGATGCAACACTAACTTAGCACTAATATAAATACAATTTTCATTCAAAACCTGGTCTAAATCTTTCAAATCATCATTCATTAAAATCATTAAATTCACTTTAAGTCATTATATTCAATCAAATCGCTCTAAACAGATTTGCGTCATTTATATTAATTAAATCATTCACATCGGATGCACTTCATCAGCAGGAGTACACTTGCACTCTTAATAACATTCAAACAACAAGGGACCGCACCAACAGAAGTTATGTCAAGCAACACGTCTATAGTCCAACTTACAACGCTACGGAATATCACAGAACGCTTAGAACTTCCCTAACTTGAAAGCCGCACCAGTGGAACAGCATTACGCTGGGTGAATACTGAGAGCTAAAAGGGAGCATATCATACGGTATTCTAGCTCCAGATGATGTTTAATGACGAGTAAAACATGAACACATGAGTTTTGGCGAAGGGTTAACTGGCAACATACACCATCGCCTCGACGACAGCAATACTAACAAAAATCTACTTATTAGAAGCTATCACAGTTTAAAAATCGTTTAGACAGAACTAAATACATAGTGTTGGACCCCGTTTCATGCAATGAGATCAATCTGGCAAGACAAAAAGTTCCTCTTCAATGATTTGCCATTAAAAAGTTTCAACTAACGGGCGCTTGGCAAAAGAAGGCTCATTTGATCTCATCATTCTTTCGCCAACCATGGAAGAAAGAAATCTGAGCACATATTTCCAGTACATATACGATAAATAAAAGAATAACAACAAACATGGCTACCAGGCAGGATCGTCTGGATCTCTGTCGTCGCTAGCGTCACCCGTGGCGGGCCAGATGTTCGAGTAGTACTTTTGATCCCACCAAGGCACCAGCTGGACACTCACCACGGGCTGCAGCAGTATCTGCAAATATTGCCTTTATTGATATGTAAACTAATATAAAAAATAACGCGTAAAATATAAGTCAATACACGTAGGGAATCAATATATAACCTTATTAGTCTTCTGTCAACCTAATTAACCGAAGTCAATTGCAATTAGTATCTGACGGCCTGGCAACTACATGTACCGTCAGTGACCAAAGAAACCAATCTACACATTGAATCTATTGTCCATGCCCTTAGGACAAACTCTATTATCTGCACTCACAACGAGTTCATCACTCCGTCTGGGCGTGGAGGTAAAGGACGACTGAGGCGAGAAGACGAGAGAGATTTTGTTTGTTTGTAATGATCTGGTGATCTCCATAGGCCTCTCGTACATCAGCTTCAGCTTCAGGCCGATCACTGAGCAGTCCACCTGAAACAGATAATCAGCGTTCACAAGTTTATCAGCGGAGAAATAGCCCGGGTTGTGCGTCCTGCGTAGGTTGTTGCTCCTGACGAGAGCTGGGAGGCGGGTGCGCGCTAGGGGCTCGTACGCAATAAAGAGCGAGCGGATCACACGGCTGCGTAGCCCCACCACGTCGCTGTGTCGGATCTCCCACGACCGAAGCTCTGGCAGCATCTCGCACATGTGGCTGCAGAACCTGCACAGACACTGCAGCTACAGCAACACTGAGTTTATATAGGATGAACTACACAGAATTTGTATCTACTGATGACAGATTTTAGTTTCTGAAAAACATGGAATTCGTAAAGCAATGACAACGTGCAATTTGTAAACAATGGATAAAACGGAATTTGTATACGATGAATAACACTGTACTATAAGTAACGAATTGCAAATCACAGTTTCACAGTGAGAAATTAAACATAAAAATCGGAAGAGTGATTGCAACAGGCAGGATCGCCGACATCAGGATAACACAGAACTCGCATGGAGTGGAATATACAGTACCTGTACTATACGTGGTACGCAGGTAACGTGGAAAAAGGACAATTTTTGAAGTACCGTATTTATGAGCAACTTCTACAAACGAAAGAATGATACCAAGAATCAATGCCTAAGCTGATGAAGGAGGCGGAGTAGGTACAGAATGGAAATGACACGAGAAGTGACTTACTGAATGAGCAATATTTGGCTTACGGCATCTCTCAACGATACACCGACCACGAGACGTGGTACTGTACAAGATAGCATGGTTGAGCTAATATTATAATCAAGTAATAAAGGGGGATACTGAACAAGCCTATCTTACCGTAATGATCGACTCTACCCTATCGTGAGATCAATGATGATCGACTGCACCTATCTTCAGGTGACTCACTAAAATCAATGTGTGATGCATGACCTGGCACTCACTCACGCAGGTTGTGCTTCATAGCCTTTTCAGAGGCAGTTTAAAAAATAAACACTAGAAGCAACTGTTTACACAAGGACGAAGTTTTAGGAAGTAAAGCTTGAGTCAAGCTTATTGTTCCTTAGATATTCTCAAATGTCATGTGATACATTAAATTGTCTTTCAATTGACTAGATAGTACGATAACCAGAGTTTTTTTTATCTCTTTGCACTCCTACATCATGTTCTCACCCATCATATTCTCACCCATCACGGTCTTGACCATCATGTTCTTACCCATCATGTTCTTACCCATCATGTTCTCACCCATCATGTTCTCACCCATCATGTTCTCACCCATCATGTTCTCACCCATCATGTTCTCACCCATCATGTTCTCAATCTCACCTATCATAAAGTGATGTCCAGAAGCCTGCTCGGCTCACAACAAAGGCTGTAGTTTTGCAGATGGCGGCAAAGGTTCCCACATCTTCAGGCTGGATGTATGTACTGAAACAAACATTGTGTGCAGTCATATCTTCTGAAATGGTAGTTACTATTGAATTCCTCACTGGTAAAACTATATAGAAATATGCTATTAAAAAAAATGTCTTCCCTAATTTCTTAGGTGATGCCTAAGGGTAACATTCTTACAAATTAAGGATAAATTTCACTGTATCATAAAAGCAAATGAAAAAAACTGTTACCTCACTACATAGGGCGTTTCTATTTACTTGATTGCAGTTTTATCAATAATAAATTCTTTTTAACATTTCGATCTTATGAATACAATTGTTTTACGAACAGAAAGTACTTCTATGTCAAGCTTAAATCCATTGAAAGCTTCTGACACTTTCAATGAGTGTAGTCACATTTAGTACAAAATCATTATCCTGCAAATGAATGTCCTTTATATTAATAAATAGTAGCATTTTATTCACGAGGCTTAATTACCTTATTAGAGTCCATATGTCAACATGAACTTCATTGTAGGCAGAAGTGTCATCTTCAGTGACTGAAGACTTCTTTCTTTTTCTTTTTGTACCTAAAATGAAACAAATTCATTTTACAACTTTTCACATTTTTTCAAACTTCTAACAAAATACTCACTATTTCAAACAAAAAAAAAAAAAATTGATTGTTTTTGAACCAAACAACATTTTTGGCTTTGCTGCAAAAGGAATCCAATCACACTTTCATATATAATTAATTCGTCAGTAGCCTATGAAATGTTCATTCAATTTTAAATATAAAAGTGTTTCTTTTTGACAACATGTACCATGTACTTTTGCCATGATAAATTCCCAATTAACAAAAACACGCTTTATTAACCATCTCTAGTTTGACTCAAGTTAAAATATGCATATGCAAGGTTTGTACCTAAGGTCAACTCAACAGCATGTGTAGATTTTTCCTCCTCTTGGGTTTCATATAGGTAGTTGTAGGAAAAGTGGGTGATCTAAGTGTGTGTGTGTAATTACCCTTTTTGGCTTATTTTACCATCCTGGTAATGGTGACTAGGGAGTCACTTGATAGGGTGATCCAAGTCACCCCCTGCCTTGGGGGGTGACTTGGACCACCCCTAGTTAAATACGGGCCATAATATGGGTAGGACTGTATTCTATCTCCTCTGCCAGCCTTGAATGGCACTCCTTCAAAGTTTGCTCCCCCACAGCTGCTCCTGATCTTTTAATATCATTTGCTGGTCTTTTGCTTAAATTCCTATGCTGCTTGATGAAGGCAGAAGCCCAGTTGGGCACTGGAAGGTTCAGTGAAAACTTAGGGACAATTCGCCCTTGCTCATCCAGGTACCTAGCTTTTGACAATAATCCTTAAGTCAAAAGCTGAAGTGGGTAGCAATAATAAGTACAAAGTATGATTGTTTCAACAACAATGCTCTCCTCCTGTGCACTCAAAACAGTTTGGCCCCCAGGCTTTAAAACATTTTCCATGCACTCTGTTGAACAAAAGAGACTTGCCTATGACATACTATTTTGCAGTTTTGGTTATACATTTTTTCTTTTCCCTTATTAAATCTACAACTTCTACTTCATTGCCCGTATATTTCCTGTGGGTGCAGGAGCCCTCATGGCACTTGTAGGCCCTATGCATATTGTAGGTAGGTAGGTAGAAAGCCAGCTAATTCACTGCTTAATGGGCACAATATGAATACCTATAGAGCAAGAAGTAACCATGAAAATAGATAAAAAGCATTAGTAACACTTAAAAAACATAAATTAAATGATAAAATGTTCATTTTAATTACAACATGATTCGGTCCATGACTGATCCAAGTCACTCCATTGAGAGGATTTACCTGTATTCTGTAACTTTCACAATTGGCTTAGGTTGGTTTTAATTCAAGAAACTGGAAGTCTATTAGTGTAATGTATAAAAATTTGGGGTCATTCTGTCAAATAGTTGTGAAATGAGAAAGGGTATATTGATAGGGTACAAAATTTGTCCATTTTTTAACCCTTACTTTTTGTGAAACAAATAGTCACTTAGTAATTTAGTAATTTAGTAATAAATAGTATAAAAATATAAACATACCTATTGCATTTGAAAATTTACCATTTGAAGGTAAATGTCAAAATGGTCCAAGTCACCCCACCAGTCAGAGTTACCCCACTTTATGGTACCGGTACCAATGTTAAAAATTTTGTAATGCCATATAAGCGGGAGAGTAATTTTAAGGATAAATACAGTAGTATTAAAATTCAAAAATAAAACTGACCCCATACAATGCTTGTTCATCACTCTAAACAAGTTCAGTCCATTCTTTGCTATGCAATAAAATTACCTGGAAGTATTGGTGTGTGTTGCGTGTCTCCCTGAGCTTCGTCTTCACTGATGTGTTCATTCCAAACCAAATCTTCCACAATACGTTGGTCTTCACTAGCTAATCAGAAGCACAAGGAAACTTCAATTAAGTAACTCAAGCAATTAAATCACAAAAAAACGACACATCAGGTAGTTTTTAATGAATTAGATTACTAGTACAGTCGCAGGTATCTGTTGCGTCTACATAGTATGGGGACCAGGGCCTGTGCTGCTGGCCATTCTCTGATGGGCCAAACAACAAGAGCCTCCAATAGCTATTACAGCACTACCACCAAGAGTGTGGACACATTCAACCTTACAAACGTCATGTCTTCCTAGGGTTTCAGTAAAGGCTTTTCTACATTATCTACCTCCTCAATAAATAATGTAATGTTCAATTATATGGATCCTAATAATAGAATTGTAACTAAAGATACCGGTAATCTTATTTGTTATATTTATATAAATTGGATGTAACCAAGTGCATTGATCTAAGCTTTAATGTTGCAGCTACCAAAGTAGAGAATAAAGGTTATTAGGTTAGGAACTACTGGCAGTTGAAATGTGTGCAATGGATTCAAAAAGATGATTGATTGATTCATTCATTATCAGTAATGTATTTTTGCTACTCAAATATTCAGGTGAAATCTTAGTTTACATCTCAAGTTACATCCAACTTTTTATGAATGGCCATATATGACTCTGCATGGAACAAATTTTACTAGTAGGACCATATGGAAAATTAATTTGTACCCTAGTCACGTGGTTAAAATGTAAAGTGAATCAATGATCAAGTTACAGAAATACATAGGGAGTATAAATCACTTCAATAACCAATCACAGCTGTCAACTGGTGATTGTGAAATTCACTTTTAGTTAAAGAAGACAGAGAAAATGGAAGGATCAAGCTTTACAGAATTTTTGCTTATAGAGAAGATTACCATTTACCGGTACTTTAACTTTATGTTAAGGAAAAATGAATAGGATTAATTAAAATTATAGTTAATTGAACCAGTTGCCTTGCCTTCCTCAAATGTATCCATAAATTGATGACAATTTCTTTCCTAACTATCTGTAGATTATTTACTTAGCGTTAATATGGATTGTTCCCTATCAAACATTATTACGACTTCAAAACACTGCAAACAAATAAGAAAATCTTGTAACTGTATATAGATGTGACATTGATATCTACTTTAAAATGAACACTTGTTTTTGTCAATTAGTTTTACTGGAGCTGAGAAAATGGCA